ATCAATGTAATGCTTCTAATCCCATTGATTTTCATACCCAATTCTCGTGTTTATTAGTAAAGGACTATAGGATTTACCAGATGAGGTAGGGCGGGTTGTTTAATTCTCTATGATATGATATTGAACATAACATTATGTGTTCTATAACAGCCACTGCAGCTTTGGCATCGTCTTAAACATAATAATTTTGGCTCATCCAAGAATATTAGCGTCGTATGGATTACCCGAGGGTGATTATTGTGGTATTATATTGTCTCTTGTTTCATTGTTGCAGCATTTATCGGGTGCTATTTTAGAATGTTTTCCCGTTAGTATTAGATGCTAAACTTTCGTAGCCGACAAGGAGTTTGCATTTAACACTAACAACTCATTTGACCAACCCACAATTTTGCTTCACGAGAGTGTTCTGAAATGATCTGACAGAAGACTGAATAATCTGGATACAGTGTTTATCTCGATTTGAGATATGATGATTAATTCAATGCAGATGACAAATCTCCACACCGAATGCTCACTGCAACAAAACGGGGAACAAGGAGGTCGGTTTTTATTTTATTTTTTAACCAGTGATTTGGCGTAAGTGACACAAAAATGTGACCGATGGATTCAAACTGGAGCTGGGTGAGAATTGCACCCTGTTACCCCCATTATCCGGGGGCTATTGAAACGGAAACTCGGTGTGTTGTACTTTGTAGGGGTCGTTGACAATATGTAGTATCTCAACCAACGATGAGAACAAAGTGAAACGCCCCAAACATTATTGGGCCGAGCAGTGAACGGTATTCTGGAATGTGTTTAAAAAAATCCAAGAGTTGGTCAGACATAAGAAAGCAAAATATATTGAGTTGAACCTCTATCCGCTACCACCCTGTGACACCACTAACCCTCCCCTCTCCCCCACCCTCTCCCTTCCACTGCACCGTACCTCCCTCCTCCATACTCGCTGGTTTAACAGAAGTGTGAATTGGAGTTGTAAAACGTCTCATTGGGAAAGGGCATTGCATTCAGGTAATCTTTTTTTTCTCTATTCCAAACTTGTTAGTAAAACCATCAATAGAGGCCGCTGTTCACGCTCAGTTTCTATTAAATGTGGTTTCTCTGAGGCACACCTCGCTTGCGATCGACCCAGTGTTACTAATTGTTGCTGGGATGCTGGGAATCATAAAGTCCCAAAGTGGAACGTGCTCTGATTCGGAAATCATGTTTAATATCTATTGGCTCCACTACGGTTGTTTGTGGATGCTCCTTTCTGGGATTAAACACCAAGCAAATGCAGGTTTTCTGTGATTCTTTCAAGAACTGGTCACAATCAAATAACTTTCTTTCGTAGTCCCACGTCAACGTTGTTTGAATCGAAGTTGATAGTTTTGGACATTTAGACAATACTTTCAAACATTGGCGATAGGTATTTAGCATTGGCGTAACAGCAGTACAACACTATAACAGTTGACACAATTACATTATTGCTTCTTTGGTCACCCTTCTAAAAGTTTTAATTTTATTTAACAAGCCGCAAGGGCTTTGGATATGCGCAAAACACTGCAAAGCTGAGTCAAACATGCTATTCCAATATATTTGTCATTTGCATTTAGCAATGTTTGTCCTATTATATTCTACATTCAAATTAATAATGCATTTGTCAAGATTTAGAAGTAATAATAATCCAAAAATCACAACAGTAATAGTTAAATCGAGTGAAGCCATTTATGTGGTGCTGGAATCATTAGGTCGCGAATGGTAAAGGTTAGAGCTTTCCTTGTTTTTTGTTACTAAGTATTTTTGATAAGTAAATCATCTTATCACAAAACAATGATTGTTTATTGAAGTTTGCACCTTCTTGTGAGAAGAAAACATAAATCGTTTGCATAATTAGATTTCTGTATAATCTAAACATAATTTTATCTCGCAGTTTTGACCTGATGACATATTTCCATATTCTGGAATCTCACTCACTAAGATAATCACATTTAGGGAAACTTCACAGGAAAAGTTTTTATTTGAGTATTATTAAAATATGATCAACATACACATGAATCAATTGGGGCAATTTAACATTCAACATTATTTAATAATTCACAATTAAACTCTTGACATATATTTCCTGGAATTTAAGATTAAACCGCTGATATAAAAGGACTTTAATTTGCTCTTGTGGTCCAAGGGGAAGAAAAAATTGCAACGCACAATAAAAAAAAAACAAATTTTGTAATAAATCACAAGCAATGTCTTTTTGCATATATTAGCATAGCAGTTTGATACGCTTCAATAATTATTTTTCACTATAATAACGTCAGCTACACTGAACGCATCTGACCTTTAAAAATGTCTATGCTATGCGTCGCTTATTTCTGTGATTCAAAACAATTAATAGATTTAGATGTAATTTAGATGTAATTTGACCACAATATATCTTCTAATGAAACGAATTGGAATGTTATTCTTTTCTCCACAATAACTTAAAAGTTATGAATTACACCAAATCACTACTTAACTGCCTTTTGTTTTCATATTATATACTTAGTTTTACAAGGAACGTTTGGTCAATGGTAAAACCATTAAACACCTAAAGAGTATCTTTAAAAGTGAAAATACTCAAAATAGTCCCAAAGGTAACTTTTGAGTGAAACGCATGCTATTAGCTTCACCATATTACATAGTCATCATTTAAAAATACTTCAATTTATAGTTTGAACTATAGTTCTATTTATTTTCAACAAGAAAAAAAGCTATGGTCGTCAAATCAGTCGTCAAATTTTGGTGGCATTTTTTTCTGTAGAATTGTATTATTGATGAACAAATTGGTCGCAATCCTGCACCGCCGTTTGTGGTCTGGTTTGGTCTGGAACTGGGTTGGGACCATTTGATTGACAATATCTAGCCGTGTACGACATCTTGAGTGTTATCAAACGGCTTGTGTAAGGTCAGAAGCTATTGAAAATCTCCATCCAGCCACTGTGAAGTGCGCACATAAACATAGGAAGGACTGAGCTATTCTCAACCCAGGATTGTAAGAACCTGCACATTTGCACTTCATCCCTTTTCAGTTAACACGTAGCATCCCATTCCCAGTTAGCACGTTGCATCCAGAGCAGAGAATGCGGTCAATTGTAAAGAGTAAGATAGCGCGTATTATTTTTTTGCAATAAATCACAACTGCTCCACCGCAACATGTTAGTGTTGCCGAGGAAGAAACAATTCTAGCATTGTGGTGTCGACAATCCAGCTCTTGAGAAAAGTTCTGCACAGCATTCAGTTTCCCATCCGCTAACCAGTATGCAGATGATGGCATTTAGATTAAAGCAAAGTAGCTTATTCCTATGTTATTGGCGTTTGATTCACCAAATACAATTCGCTTTACAACACCCACCTTATAACGGTACCGGATGGGTTTGGCAAATAACATTGAAGATGGATAGAACATTATCCATCTACTGTCAATTATTCCACCTCCACCTCAAGCAGTGTTAATAAGTTAATGGTCCTGATGTGGTGGAAGTAAGGGCGGTCTGTCAGCAACACATTCACTAATAAAAGGCAAACACGTTACAATACGAAGATGTTTATTTCACATCAGAGTTGATACAAGTAATGTGAATGTTTAAATTGTTAGATCATGTGTTACACGATTATCTTAATATATAATTAGTGATTTGCAAACGGTCGGCTACTGTAAGAGTGATCAGCAGCATCAACTAATGTAATCAACAGCGGATATAAAGTCCGGTGAATTTTATGCATTTTTTTTGTGTAAACATAAATAATCTATGCAGTTAGCGGCTTGAATGTAAGGCTTTAATTTCGAACCACATAATTTAAACGTTTCCGGTTCTTGTTCTCGATACTCACCATCTTTGCGAACTATTGGTTAAGTAAAAGTCTATTTTAAATATGTTTGATGTGGAAAGAAGCGTGTTAATCCCATTCGTGACCCGAGTATCAATCTCTGCCATATTTTTATTAACACATAAAATAGACAATAAATATAGACACTCACCCGAATTCGTCACGGGATTTTTTTTGCGCTAGTCAATTTGCCTCAGATGGATTTATGCCAATCACCCATATTACGCCGTAAAATACAAGGTACGCGTTAAGCTCACCGAGGTGTGTTTCAAGGATGTGCACAGTAAACGTCTGCTTGAGCAATGAAAGGGAAATTTAACGCACTGATTCAAAAGAGTGTGGGAAAAAAAAGTCTATCATTAAATCTTGTGGAAATCTCACCTCTCTCTAGGAGAAGTGAAGTATAATCAGGGCAGAGGTTTATACTTGAATGATGTTAACTCATATGGGAACCTTCCTGCTCCTGAACGACTTCTTGGCTACTGAATAAGAGCCCCTGAATTGAACCAAAATGATCCTTATGTATTAATATCAAGCACAGACACAAAGTGAACGACCATTTATCCTGCCACTCTGACTCAAGATATTTAGTTATTCCTCGGTAGAGAGTGCACTTTTAACAGTAAGTATAATTCAACCACATTGAAAACACCGTCTCACAGTGCAATTATTTTACGTATTCCTAGATCATATCAAAAGTCAGTTAGTTAGCCGGTGCACCAAACATTACATTTGACACTGCAACGAGACCTTCTTTTTTACGCACCCGTAAGAGATAACGCATGACATGATTTCTAATATAGTGATTTTTAAAATATTTCCCACACGCCCCCCACCCCCTCCCCCCCCAAAAAAAGTAAAAATGTACCGGCAAGATAAACTTGAAAGTATTTACCTTGCCATCAGCATGCAACCTAATTATCTTAGCAAGATGCTGGGGTCTATTGTTTGCTGGTTTGTGCCCATGCCCCGCCTCTCCTGTCTGTCTAAAACCTGGCGCCTGGCTACAACAAACAAAAGCGAGGCGCTCGCAGGTCTATAGCCTCGACTCAATTAAGGCGGACTTCAATCACTCTCTTACGTGTACGTCCACAAGATCGGCGCTAACATAACACTGTTTATCCGTTCAGCAAATTTGCCTACTTCGCTGCTGAACCATGTCCATGAGCCCCAAGCACACTACGCCCTTCTCAGTTTCAGATATTTTGAGTCCGATCGAGGAGAGCTACAAGAAAGTTGGCATGGACGCAGCGGGCAACCTCGGAGCTCACTTGACAGCCTACCGGCAGCCTCAGGTCTCCCAGCCCGGGATGCAGCAGCACTCGCTCGGACATACTACTTCGATGCCTACGGCAACCTATCACATGTCGCACGGGGTCCCCCAGCTATCGCACACGGCTATGGGAGGCTATTGCAACGGCAATATTGGCAACATGGGCGAACTTCCTGCTTACCAAGACACCATGAGGAACGGTGCAAGTGCCACGAGCTGGTACGGGACGAATCCGGATCCACGCTTTTCATCGAGTAAGTCGAAATAACTGGTTTCTAATAAGGGAAATAGAGTGACTGGTTAACCGAGCAAACGGTTAGGAAAAAANCTTCACCAAAAATTGCCTGGAAATGTGCTGAAGTTGCAAATGCGAAGAGTTTATTCAAATTGTCTCCGATTGTTTATTTTTTTTCAATCTGTTTCCGATATCATGTTTTCCCCCAATCCGTGAGTTTGCCTCTTTTCCAGCATATCTTTCGTTTAAAGGTCGAAGCCCCTACAGTTTGTTTTAGAATCCATGTTTATTCCCAATATATAATTAATTCTGGTAGCGCATGCTTTTCTGTTTTTTTGGGGGGCTTTATTGAGAATAAATAAGCATAACTTCGGTTTCAATCGTTTTACTTCTGATTGGAACAAACTTTTTCTGACCACTCGAGGTATGTTACTTGAGTTTCAAACATTCTGCGAATGCAGCCACATTAAAGTGAGCAAATGTTTAAACAGTGCACGGGACATATGTGAAATAGGTTTTAAAAAATTGTTCAGTGCACAGGAAAGCAACCGCCTTATTTTATGTTGATAACTGTTTGACAATATTTAAATAATTTGTTTGCACTATCCTAAAGTCATTTTACGTACATTATATATGTACATAAAATACTATTTGACACCCGGATCATTTATGCACAAATTTCATTTTTGCTTTAAAAAATGAGCAGAGTTGCTTAATTTATTCAGTGTTTAAGATCTAAAATAAACTTAAATATCCTCTTGCAACTTTGAAATGTTCACTAAGATTAAACTGCTCAAATAAATCTTAATACTGGATGCTAACGTAGTTGGTCAGTAGTCTACACGCGTCTTGGGATTGTTTTTAAATTGTGCTGGAGTGAGAACACACTTGGTATGTCATAGTAACATTTATACTTACAGTGCACTGGCATATTGAAGTTCTTGTCTAAGCTTATTCATTTGTCCCTGTTTTCTAGTTTCCCGCTTCATGGCACCATCCTCAGGAATGAACATGGGCGGAATGGGCGCTTTGGGCTCCCTTGGAGATATTGGCAAACCTATGGCTCCTCTCCAGAGCACACCGAGGAGGAAACGCAGGGTGCTCTTCTCTCAAGCCCAGGTTTATGAGCTAGAAAGGCGCTTCAAGCAACAGAGATATCTCTCGGCCCCTGAAAGGGAACATTTGGCCAGTATGATCCATCTCACGCCTACCCAGGTGAAGATTTGGTTCCAGAATCACCGCTATAAGATGAAACGGCAAGCCAAAGACAAGGCGGCGCAACAGCACATGCAGCAAGACAGCAGCGCTTGTCAGCAACAACAGCAACTGTCGCCCAGAAGAGTAGCAGTACCTGTCCTGGTTAAAGATGGCAAACCATGCCAAGGGAGCGCCAGTGCCCCAACCACCACCATGCAGACCCAGCAGCAAGTTACCAACGCTGCAATCACAGTAGCTGCCAATGGCACTACTGCCCACGGCCCATCTCAAAGCCAGCAAGCAAATAGCACAGGTCAGACATCGGAATTAGGACAAACCTCAGCAAGCCCATCTCTCCAAAGCCACATCACTAGCTTGTCTCACTTAAACTCTTCCAATTCTGATTATGGTACAGCAATGTCCTGTTCTACCCTAATGTATGGCAGGACCTGGTGAATTGATTCACTCTATTTGTGTACCAGCTCCACGCTGTATTGGTTCATGTCTACTATGCTTTAATAAAAAGTACTATTTTGCGTAGATGTGCATCAATATAGGACAAATCTCCGGGTTGAAATGTGAAGTGATGGCTGAACGTTAAATTGTTTTTTGATAGACCTGAAGGCAGTAGTATATTGCTGATTGGTCATAATGTCGGATTGAATAGATTTGCTCGAATATGCAGATATATACTAAACGATACAGAGCACAGATCTGTTCATATGTAAGGTCTGTAAATATAATTTTTTTGGGGTGGCATCGTTTAGAAGAGATTTTTCGGAACATAATAGTGTTTAAAAAGCGACATCCTATAATATGCTTTCCTCCGAAAGAGAAGAAATGCAATAGTTTATTTAACACAACTTGGTATTCTCTTAGTTTTTACAATAAAACTTAGGTGTATATTTCTGTAAAATACACACACTGGGCCGAATTTATAGTTTTTAGTAATCTGTATATTACGCTGTAAAAAAAAACGTTTTCATGATGGACTAAGCGTGTACAGTATTTGATAGTTTGTTCGTTATTGACCGCGTCAGAGAGTCGTTTTTGTTGTAACTTAAAATAGGTAATCGGTGTAAATATAGTGCTGAGAGCTTCTAATAAATTATGAAACTTAAAACGAAATACTTAGAACTGTTTTTATTACATATTGTATCTTTGCTTTAATGCCACAGCTGTTTATTGCAGTGGCGATTGTAGCTCTCCATGCTGTAAAACATATCAAACTGTAGTTTTATTTTCCATAGTATAGGAAAACAAGTCGACAGTGTCACTTTTTCCAATTATCACAAGAGCAATGGGCCAGCTAGAAATGTCTTCCACGATTTTCTTTTTTTCAAGGCACCAGTGGAGGCGGGTGAACAAACACACAGGAACTGATAAGGTATTATATTTTGGTTTAATCACTGTTTACTATGAGAGCACGTGGACTAACTGAATAGTTTTCATACGCTTTGGTGGCTAGTGGGGGAGCAAGCAGGTCATTTTTACTGAGGAAACTGTGATTCCAATTTAGCTCATTTTGAAACGCTAAGTCCATTTCTATTATGGCTGTATTAACCCTGGCCCTGTACAAAGAAGGTAAAGTAAGTGCAATGCGGAATGACCTGCTCTGTTACCAGTGCTGTCGATAATCAGCAGCTCAAAGTCCAGATATGTCAAACGTTAGTGGTTTCAATTCGTGGATTGATCGTAAACTGCAGAGTTGACTAACGATGTTAAACACTCACATCGCCTCGCCGAAATTAATTTTGGATTAATTCCATAGAGCGAATTAAAGTTAAAGTAGATAATGAGGCCAAAGTGCATTTCAATTAAAGCGAGCGCGTATGATTTCTCCGTGGAAGACACTGTTTGCTTTGGCATTAAGGAAATCTCAGTTGTTTGCTGTAGACAAAAGGCAGTGATCTACATGTTGCTCGGCCGGGCTCAGGCCCATTTAAAACTAGGCTTGCAGTCATCTGGGTATTTTAGTATTGATTGAATACACATTTTTCAAATGCCGATTAAATATTTTCAATTAAAACAACCAAACGACCTGCTTTGGGTTTCATGTACATTTTCTGAATCGTATGCTCACTTTATCGGTAAATAAATATTACTGCGGCCAGCAAATGATTCCTCGAGTTGTCCACGTGTAATTCAACCTATCCTGCAATGAAATAAAAAAAACTAACACTTTTACGCATCTACACTGAAAATATAGAGGACATAATTAAGGAATTTTGCGATTGATTGCTGTTGGGGGAAGATATGAATAAGTCAAAAATCAATATCAATTCATCAATATGAATTTGAAACTAATGTTTGATTCTCTCACCTGCAGAAGGGTTGACTTTTCTCAGTGATAAAGGGCCAAGTATCTGTTTCTAACTACAGACAACACCTTGTTGCTCTTGGTTTTCTATTTTTTCTGCATTTAGATTATTAACAAAACGCAAAATCGGTTTAGGGAAATATTCTCGCTTTCACTGTGTACAATATTGTCAATGTAATTGAGATGTATGTGCTGGTATAAACAGTAAAAGATTAATTCATTAGATTGTATTGTTTGTCGAAATACACTTTAAATCCGTTGATGCAAACACGCTAAGATATTTATTCTCTGTAAATTCTGTTAATTAACCTTTTTATATTGCAGCCTCATTAAAATAGACGTAACTGTCTTTGTAAGGCACTTTTAAATTACATTTGCAGAGTTGGTCACTTTTAAATTGCATTTACGAGCAATTTGCTTTCATAAGATCATTCATTCAGCGAGGAATCTGAACGCACGAATTGATCGCAGCGCAATGTCCCGCAGAATTAAAGGTTGGATAATAGAGTTATCAAAAAACATGTAATATCAAAAGAGAATTAAGCCTTTGCAAACCTTTCTATATATCACTGAATCCCATAAAGAAAAAAAACGAGGAAACGTGCATTTTAATTGCAAACTTCTCAATCTTTCTCGGAGCTATCTTTGAAGGGTTTTATTTCTAGATGCTTAAAATAAATGTGTTTTTATTCGCCACACATCATAAACCTTTCTGTTGCAAGTGAAAGCGCCTTCCTCAAGAGGCAGCTCAGCTCTGGGGCTCTTCAGAATATGGCATTCACAGACTAGATGGGGGGTGGGGGGGGGTAAACACTCAAAACTCCATTTTCTCAGGGAAATCCCGCAAGTGGAGGCTTTCTGCGGTTTACATATCATTCGGTTTTCGTACAGAACTTACTGCATGCTCGCACAGTATGTGGCTTTCAATATAATTATTATCTTTTTTTTCAAATCGAAGCATTCCAATTTAATTTGTGCAGAAAAATGCAAGTACTGGAGAACCAGACCTGGGATTCTTATTTTTTTTCCCCCAATGTAAAACATGCTGAACTTCTTCAATCCGTTTGCAAAGGTTGGGTTGTCCTGGTTCTGATGAATGATTTGGCAGCAGCAAAGGTACCCGGGTAGGTCATCAGTGTTTGTTAAAAAGGTGCGCCTAAAGCTCTCAGTTAACATATACGCTGACAGAAAGGGCTGGGCCCATATAACATTATTTCACGCTTTTGATCGCAGCTTTTTCTTTGCAACAGCTGAACAAAATGCACTAAGTTATTTATATATGTAACATTTTAGTGTGGTTATTTTAAACGGAAATGTGCCAGCTTCACTGGACCCAGATGTAAACAACGATAATGAAACACTTCAATTAATATACTTTACAAGCTATGGTTTGATGCGGCCTAGTTCAACCTTCTGGAATCGTGAATGGGACTAAAATCCACAGATGTTTCCAGTAATATCAGTCTATATTTTCCTAAAAAATAGCCATCAGATGAAGTCAACTGGGTGTAATTGTTTGGCCTTAATGCCTTGCTGTTTATATAATCGGTATGACTGCTAGTTTTCGAAGTCAGATGTGAAATTTTATTCAGATAAATACAAATATATTGCAAATCTTTCCAAATGCAAGGACTGTTATTAATATTTATACCATTATCTGGGGCATGGTTTTATTTTCCTCCGTTGTATATATACGCTTATTAGAAAATTGGTTTTAATTTATAGCCCAATGTAATACTTGAAATTTCTCTGTTGCATCTTTACAAAGTACAGAAATGTTAAATAATATATTTTGTGTTATTGAAAAAATATACAACCCAAAACGCTAGTGAAACCCACTTTGAATTTATTAACACAGAACTGAAAAGAGGGTACAAAGTAAACACCGGGGACTCTTCAAGCTAAGAATTTAAATGGATTGCTTGTATTAGAATAATGAAATGAAGACAAAAAAATGCAATATGATCGTATTCAGCATAACACGAATCGAGTGCAGCCAATGTACTCAGTTAATTCGTTATGTGAAGGCAAAGGGCTACGCGTTTGGCATTTATTCTTGTGTGAGCGCAGCTATTTGCTGGAAATAGCAGATACCAATTATATTGAAATCTGGTGATTTATCACAAAACTCTGCTGCCTGCGTATGAATAAAACACTCTTACTGAATCTATAGTATCACGAATTTCTTCATTTTCTTGTGTCGCTAAAGGAATGTAGTGAAGTAGCGGAGTCTTTTTAATTTATTATTGAGCTAATAACCACACAGAGAGAGTGAGAGAGAGAACCATTACCCACCATCCCTTTGCCGTCTGGCCGATCTTCGGAGCCTTATAATGGGTCGAACATTTTTTTATTATTACTATTTAAAACGTAATAATTAGTTTTGTTACAAAACGTGATAAGGCGCTATATCAAATGCAAGGATTATTTTTGTTATTTATTTCGCGTATTTCTACCATTTCACGTGTCGTCTACAAATTCGTACCTTGGATTCAAAAATAAAATAATAATAACAATAATCCTTGCATTTGATATAGCGCTTTTCACGTCTTCTATACGTCTCAAAGGGCCTCACGGAATACACTGTAAAGTGAGTTGACTGTATATTTGTGGGCGAAATTCCATTTCGAAGCAGTAAATAACTACAAATTGCAAAGACTAATCATATTAAAATATATATTTTGTTTGAACAAGGCGGAATCTTTTCACTTGCAAACGCTTTCGCTTTCATAACAAATTTAGTGGATCCAGAATAGGCATCGAAATCAGTAAACGTTTCACCGATAAAGATTATATCATCTAATATAGTAACATTTATATTGTTAATGGTTGAGTTTACAAAATGCATTTATATGAAACTAAAACCAAGAGGCTGTTAATTTAATAACAGGATTATCGATCCTTTTGTATTAATTATGTTTAGCAAAATGTCATTTTCGGCCTTGATCTGGTCATTTTATTTGCATTGTTCCAAAATCCAGTGATAAGACGTGTGAGACTTGTTGTACGTCTCACCAGAACATCCTTTTTTTCTGTTTGCTTTTCGTAAAACTGTGAATTCATTTCGGTTGCAATGTACTATTCATTTAACATCGACGTTGTACCTGTTCTAGGTAATTTCATTTATTATAGAGAATTATGGTGAAATATAATCCTTACAAAATCTCTCCAAAATGTAAAGCTAAACAATGATCTGTTAAACAGTTGTTGTAAGAAATTGAAAACAACGAGGTGAAACAGCAACTACTGCCATAACATAGCAGTTGAGCAGATTATTCAAATTAGGTGATGTTACAATAAACCAAATCGGACGAATTATTTAGTGTTGGAAGTCATCAAAAAGAAGCAACTTATGTGTTTTTTTTTAAAAAGGCAGCAAATGTGGAGTTAGTGATATTGAGATGAAGGCAAATCAGCCAGCATTGGCGCGCAAGTGTTCCCATATGACCTGGAAATGAAACACTAATTACTAACTGGCGACCCAAACAACGTCAAAACAGATCGGAGAGAGATCCGTTTGTTTCCGCGTTTCTATGAATGTCA